CCAACTGTTCCGCGCCCAGCTCGCCCACGTGGCGCAGGATGAAGCGCTGCGCCGCGCTAGCCAGCCCCGAGCAGCTGAAGGCCTCGGCAAAGTCCTGCATGTCCAGGCAGTTGGCCAGGTCGAGCTGCTGCTGCAGGAAGGCGCCGCACGCCTCCTTCACGGCGGGGAACTGCAGCAGGTCCGCGGCGCGCAGTAGCGGCTCGGCGTTGTCGCCGCTCACGGCCACTCTGCCCGTGTAGCTGAAGTCCAGGAGCAGTTGCAGCATGTCGGGCGGCACCCCGTGCAGGCGCACGCGCTCGGCGCGGCTCTCGCGCAGCTGCCCCGCGAACATGGCGCGGAAGTAGGGACTAGCGGCCGCTAGTACGGCGCGGTGCGCGGGGAAGTCTCGGCCGCCCGCCGCCTCCAGGGTCACATCCAGGAACTTGCGCTCGGCGCGCAGCTGACTCAAGCCGCGCAGCAGGCTCAGGGCGTGCGCGGGATCGGAGAAGGGCAGCACGGCCAAGGGCGCCGGCCGCTCCATGACCGGGGACTGCGGGCTCAGGGACGCCCCGGCTCTCCCGGCACCGCCTCTATAAATATGCACAATATGCAGTACAGAACCTCCGTGGGCGGGGTCTGTCGGGGCGGAGCGCCACGGGCCACGCCCCCACGTAACCCTTTCATCCCCGGAGCTGCGGGCAGGTTGAGTCACCGCCGCCTACGCCGGCTCCCTTTCCGCCCTTCCGGGGCTTCCAACCGCCTCCGCGGACGCCCAGGTGGCAACGGCGGGCGACAAGTGCGTGTTCCGAGGTGTACTAACCATCCTCCAGCCCAGCGGTTTGCAGAGCGAGGCCCGGAGAGGCGAGCTCGGCGCCCGAATCCACAGTCACTCCTTTGGTTCCAGATTCCCTGTTGCGCTCCTGGGAACATCTGAGTACGTGATCCTGTTTTCAGTTCCGTTGGCTCCGGGGTAGTTACTTAAGCCCACCCCCCCCCCCGTCAGATTTCAAAAGTAGTATTTGCACAATTCAGCACCAAAGCACGAACAAATTCAAGAGTTTCGTTGTTTGTTTTTTTGTTTGTTTGTTTGTTTTGTTTTTGTTTTTGTTTTTTTTGGCGCGTTTAAGCAAAACCGGGCCAGATTCCAGGAAAGCGCTCCACTGTGTTCATGCCTGAGTTCAAAGCGAGCAGTCAAGTCTGTTCAGCATAGAAGCAGTAGTTTACTTTCCGAGTCTACTCCTTCAGGCTACTCACGATGGGTAGGAGCAGGTCCGTCCGGGGAGTGCCTTAAAAAGGTGGAGATGGAGCCGCTCAGCAGTCACGGTTCTCTGAGTGGGTCGGTTTGTGCTGTACGTAAACGCAACTCTAGGAACGGGAGCCTACACTCGGAAGACACGTGTGAGTTTTGCTTTGCTTAGTTTTAGGGAAGTGTGGAGAATGAAATATCTGTGCCCCACCTCATTTCTGAAAGCATTCCAGCCTCAGGTTTTGCCTCGGGGAGGCTGCTAGGTTGACACAGCCTTGGCAGCAGACATTTTGTTTTATTCCATTTCTAAATCTTTGCAGGTTTTCTCTTCCACTCAGGAACCTCACCTTCTTTTCCTCTGAGAATGCAGCTGGTCTAAATTTCAGGGTCAGCATGGTAAGCACAGACTCCAAGGAAGAAAACATGCAGGTACCCCAGCAACTGCCTGTTGCCCATAGAAGGTCTGTTCACACAGCTATTAAAGGCAGTGCAGCATTCCTGGGCCCAGGAGCCTGGCCAATAGCTTACACACTCACCCGGGTCTTCTGAGTCTGAGCAACCAGGAAGTGGTTGCCTGTAGAGGAAAGTACAAAAAGCCCTTGGAGTCAGTCGGCTCCTCTCAGCGTGAAGCCTAAGGATTAAATGCTGTAGCTGAGAACTGAGTATGGATTTTGTTTTTGTTGGAGATGGAACCCAGGGCCTCAGACATTCAAGGCACGCACTTTATCATTTGAGGTCTCTGCCCCACTACTCCCCACTCTCCTAACATCAAAAGGGTGGGTCATTATTGAAGAATGACTTTGTAGATATGGAGATGGGAAGATGTGCATGTGTGCATGCTAGCTAGCTCCGTCAAGTCAGATCATACACAGTGGGATCCAATTATACAAATGGTCTAGAAAAGAAATGAGCCTTCTCTGTCCTCTTTCTTCAAGTGTCTCCGGCTTGAATCCAGGACCTGGCTTGTGCTTCGCTTACTCCGTAGCTGTACCAGCAGCTCTAGATTTCAGATTCACTCCGAAAGTTCTTGTGTGTGCTCATTCACGTGGCACAGTGTTGTGTAGGTCTGGGAACAGTAGCCTCAGGGGCCGGCCCTGGACTTTTACCTTGCTTTTGTTTGAGCCACCAGGTCTCATGATGTAAGCCAGGCTGGCCTGAAACTCAGAGACCCACCTGTCTCTGCCTCCCAGGTGCTGGGATTAATGGCCTGCGACACCACTGCAGGGCAAAATCAGCTCATTTCTAATTAATATGTAATTAATTAGAATATATAATTATATTAATATTAATATAATAATTAATCTATATGCTGCCCCAGGCTCATTTACCTCACTTACATACTGTCAGTCCTGCTTTCCTGCTTCCTCCCAGTCTGTCTGTCCCCTGGCTGGCTGGCTGGCCTGGCTCCCCTTCTCTCTCTCTGCCCTCCATCCCTGCCCATCCTTCCTCTGCCTAGTTATTGGCCATTCAGCTTTTTATTAGATCAATCAGGTGCCTTACTCAGGTAAGGTGAAACAGCAACACATCTTTACATAATTGAACAATTATTCCGCAACAAACAAATGTAATACATCTTTATTTAGTTAAATGAATGTTCTATTTCACAACAGTCTACATAGCTAATTCCAGGACAGGTAAGGTTACAGTGAGACCCTGGCTCAAAAGAACTAATTACACCTGACCACTAATCCCTTTGCCCACGGACCCCTCCTGGTTTCTTGAGTTGCTGTCAGTTCTGGGTAAGTGCAGCATCACCCCCATCAAAGAAGTTTCCCTTTACAGAAAATGGAAAGTATCACAGAAAACCACAACTGGGGAGTGGGGGCTGGTGAGGTGGCTCAGTGGTTAAGAGCACTGACTGCTCCTCCAGAGGACCCAGGTTCAATTCCCAGCACCCACATGGCAGCTTGCAGCTGTCTGTAGCTCCAGTTCAAGAGAATCTGACATCATTATACCAATGCACATGAAATAAAGTTAAATAAAGTTTTTTTTAAAGAAAAAAAAAGAAAGAAAACCACAACTGGACACAACCCAGAGATCTGCAGATGATGGGGAGACCAGCCTAATGGGTACATACATCTATATCACAGCTCCTACACCTATGTTGGGAACATCCTAGAAAAGTGGCAGAAAGATCTTAAGAGCCAGCACACCAGAAAGTCAGCACTGTCAAAGTGTCTCCTAGAAATGGTTACATGAACAGAACTAGAGCAATGGTAACATCAACAGGCATGCTAATATGGAAAGGGGAATATCCCATGGGGTCCTACCCCTAGTTAATAAAAGACAGGACTGATGATGCTTTGGAATTAGTCCTTCGACCAGATGGTGGTGGTGCAGGCCTTTAATCCCAGCACTTCACTTGGGAGGCAGAGGCAGGCGGATCTCTGTGAGCTTGAGACTAGTCTGGTCTGGTCTACAGAGCGAGTTCCAGGACAATCAAGGCTACACAGAAAAACTCTTGTCTTGAAAAAATAAAAAAAGAATTAGTCCTCCCTAGGGATGGGCCCCATAATTGATTGTCCAATATACACACATCAACCAAAATATACTCAGCAGGTTATAGTCATACATTTTTGCATGCATGTACACACAAACAAACACACAATAATTACAATCAAGGAAGAAGAGGCCATCAATTTGAGAGTAAGGGGAAAAACACAGAAGGAGTTGGGAAGGAGGGACATGGGAGGAGCCAGAGGGAGGAAAGGAAAAAGTAATACAATTATACTTTCACTAACTGCATAAAAATTAAAATGGTAATTTCTTAAAGTTTTGTCATTAAATACGTACAATTATGTTAACTATATAGCACTATTTTGGTTTAAATTTTTTTTATCAGATTTATTCATCTTACACCTTTTGCCTTCATGTTTGTCTGTGCACTCCATGCTTGCTTGGTGTCTGAGGAGCTCAGAAGAGACCATCAGAAGCCCTGGATCTGTAGTAAAGGATGGTTGTGGGCGAGCATGTGGGTGGAGCTTCTCTGGAAGCACAGGTGTGCTCCTAACTGCCCAGCCAACTCTCCAGTTCCACACCCTGAGTTCTGAGGCCAGCCTGGGCCACACAGTGAGACCTTGTGACTTTTCTTCCCTGAGCAGCAGTGCTAGGCACTGATCTCCAGGCTTACATTTAGCTGGACAGCAGCCTAACTGAGCTCCACCCATTCCTTTTCTGGCAGGGAGGAAAGTCACCAAGTTGCTCAGGCTGGCCTAGAACATGTATACTTCCTGCCTAGGACTGCCAAGGAGTTGGTATTGTAGATATCAGCCATTACTACTGAAGTTAACATTTTTCTCAAGATCTTTAGGTCTATTTTTTTAATTTACTTACTATGTATACAATGTTCTGCTGGCATGTACAGAGCAGAAGAAGGCATCAGGTCTCATCATAGATGGTTGTAAGCCCATGTGGGTGCTGGGGATTGAACACAGGACCTCTGGAAGAGCAGTCAGTGCTCTTAACCTCTGAGACATCTCTCTAGTTGTGGGTTTTTTTGTTGTTGTTGTTTGTTTGTTTGTTTCTTGAGACATGATTTCTCCAAGAAACAACTCTGGCTGTTCTGGAACTCAATTTGTAGACCAAGTTGGCCTTGAGCTCAGAGATCCACCTGTCTCTGCTTCCCTAGTGCTGGGATTAAAGGTGTGCACCACCACACTACTGCCTCGTTTAGGTCTGTTTTTAAAATGATTAATATTTTAGGGGCTGGAGAGATGGCTTCGAAGTAAGAACACTTGTTCTTCCCACATGAGGGTTCACAACTCTCTGTAACTCCAATCCTAGAGGATCTGATGGCCTCTTCAACCTCTGAGGCTACCAGGCAAACACATGGTACATATACATACACACATGCAAGCAAAACAGTCACACATACAAAATAATAAATAGGGGGCTGGAGAGACGGTTCAGAGGTTAAGAGCACTGACTGCTCTTCGAGAGGTCCTGAGTTCAATTCCCAGCAACCACATGGTGGCTTACAACCATCTGTAATGAGACCTGATGCCCTCTTCTGGTGTGCAGACAGAATACTGTGTACATAATAAATAAATATATCTTTAAAAAAAACAAAATAATAAATAAATCTAAATATTTTAAAATAAAAAAGTAAGCTTATTATGACACCCTCAACTAAACAGGCAAGCATCTAGGACCATCCAAAATCTGGGTGGGAATGTGGTGAGAATAGACAGGCCCAGATTTAGCCCTATCAGCTGTGTAAGGAATTCTGAATGGCCTACCAACCCAGGCCTGCTAGCGAGTTCCTCCTTCTCCCTGGGGGTCTCAAGGGCTCAATGTTGGGGTGTGAGACATTGCTGCAGGGTAGCAATGACATTACACTGTGAGACTGAGTCTGAGGAGATGCTGGACTGTGCTGAGGGCCTTAGAGCCCTTGGGTGGTGCGGCTCCTGTCTGGAGAGGAAGATGGTAGGTAAGCTGTCAGATAAGACATTTAAAAAAAAATCATGAAAATTCTAATTTACCTATAATAAAATTCAAAATAATAAAATAAAAAAATGCAGGGTTGGAAATATACAGTGAGTAGAATACATGTTTAGCATGCATGGGTCCTAGGCAGTCTGTCCAAGATATTGGTTTTTTTTTTTTTTTTTAAAGACTGGGTCTTTGTAGCCCTGACCAGGCTGGTTTTGAATTCACACAGAGCTCTTGCCTGCCTCTGCCTCTCAAATGCAGATTGAAGACACATGCCACTATGACTGAACCAAGTAACTTGGTTATGATAATGTAAGTTATGATATATGATTTAATCAGTGGTACTATTTAAGTAAAAATGTAACAAAATAAAACAAAACAAAAAAACCCCAAGTCAACCAACCAAACAAAACTGAGCGTGTGAGGTAGCTTGGTGCAGGTATTTGTTCCCAAGCCTGGAGACCTGGTGACCCTTGAAACACACATTGTGGAAGGAGAGAACCACTCTCACAAGTTCTGTCCCACCCCTACGATGACACTCAACTCACCCACACAAATAAGACAAAGAGGGGGTAGAGAGATGGTTCAGAGGTTTAAGAGCAGTGACTGTTCTTCCAGAGGTCCTGAGTTCAAGTCCCAGCAACCACAGGGTGGCTCACAGCCATCTATGATGAGATCTGGTGCCCTCTTCTGGCCTGCAGGCATACATGCAGACAGAATATTGTGTGCAAAATAAATAAATAAACAAATAAATAAATAAATATTTTTTTTTAGAAAAAGAATTAAATTTAAAAACTATTTGCCGGCTGTAGTGGCACAGGCCTGTAATTCTAGCATTCAGGAGTCTAAATTGAGAGACTCTGAGTTTGAAGCAAGGTTGGGCTGCTTCCACTCACACTCTCTCCACAGTTACATACCCCAAACCCTCAACTCAGCACAGCCTGTTTGCCTGATGATCCCTGGTTAAAAGAAAAACAAACCACTCCATTTGGGTGCCTGGATTGTAATTTTAGATAGTCAAGAAGTAACCTGTGTCATGGTGAAAACAGCTATCTTTGGTTTTTGTCTAATTTTTTTTAAGATTTATTTATTTATTTATTATGTACACAGTATTCAGCCTCCACGCCTGCAGGCCAGAAGAGGGCACCAGATCTCATTACAGGTGGTTGTGAGCCACCATGTGGCTGCTGGGAATTGAACTCAGGACCTCCGGAAGAACAGTCAGTGCTCTTAACCTCTGAGCCATCTCTACAGCCCCCTAATTTTTTGTTTTTGAAAGAGGGTCTCAGTCAAGTGGTGGCAGCGCACACTTTTAATCTCAGCATTCACGAGGCAGAGGCAGTTCCAGGACAGCTAGGGTTACACACAGAAACTGTCTCAAGGGGGCAGGCAGACACACAGACAGAATATCGTATACATAATAAATAAATAAATAAATAAATAAATAATTTTTTTAAAAAGAAACTGTCTTAAAAAAACAAAACAAAGCAAACAAGTAAAAACGAAAAAAAGAAAAAGAGTTTTACTATTCAGTCCTGCCTAGCCTGGAGGTCACTACGTAGACAAGACTGACCCCAAACTCACAGAGATCCACTTGCCTTTGCCTTCAGATTGCTGGGGTTAAAAGTGCGTGTCACCACCAGCTGTTTTTTTCTTAATGACTGGAGAGATGCTCAGTGGTTAGGAGTGCTGACTCCTCTCTCAGAACCCAGGTTTGATTACCGACATCCACAGAGCAGCTTAGGACCTTTAGTCACTCCAGCTTCAGAGGATCCTCCAGGAGCACCAGACACACATGTGGTCCACAGACAAACAGAAGCACAATACCTGTAAATACATGTACAATTAAAAAAATTCATTTTGTGTTTGTGCGTGTGCATATTGGTGTGGCTTCGAGGAGGCCAGAGGAGAATGGCAGAGGCACTGGGGCTGTAATTACAGGTGTTGGGAGTCACCTGATGTGGGTGCTGGAAACCCAGCTGGGGCCTCTGTAAGCGCAGCAACTGCTGACTCAGCCGTGTCTTTGCCGTCTACCAGTACGAAGCTCACACAAGAAACTGATTTCACTGCCTGCGCACCAGCGGGTGACGCAGTCAGCAAGTAAGGATTTTAAGTCTTCACAGACATTCTCGTCCTATAGCCTGGGTACTATGAGCTGAGAACAGCATGATTTTGAGGAACGTACACCTACACTCTCTCTCTCTTCTGAGCAAGACAGAGTAAGATGTGAGCAAGACAGGCAGGAGGAGTCCTAAAAATATACTCTAGCTGGAACAAGTGTGGAGCAACCAGAGAACTTCTCCGGGCAGAACGAGCCTCTGGGGAAATTCACACCACACTCCAATCGCACAGTGAGAATAGGAAGTGGAGAGCGTTCCCCAAAGTTCCCCAAGTGAAGGTATGAAGCATGAGATTCAGGTAGGTAAGGCTATATTTGGAATACAATTAAAATAACCACATCCTCAAACTATTGGGAAGCCCCGGTATTCCTAGTATGTGACCTTGTCACAGCCTGGGCTAGTGTTGGATCCTCCCCCACCCTTCATGAGCAAGTACAATTGTCTAGAATTAGCACTAAGCAAGCAGACATCTCCCCCCACCCCCAGCAGGTAGAAATCAAAGACTGGTGACTCCAGGACCAGAGACCATGACTAACATTACTACTTAAGATGCTCTAGGTTTGGGGGCTGGAGAGATGGCTCAGCGGTTAAGAGCATTGCCTGCTCTTCCAAAGGTCCTGAGTTCAATTCCCAGCAACCACATGGTGGCTCACAACCATCTGTAATGAAGCCTGGTGTCCTCTTCTGGCCTGCGGACAGAATACTGTATACATAATAAACAAATAAATAAATATAAAAAAAAAAAGATGCTCTAGGTTGTTCGGCCCATGGAAGTAAAACAAGCAGGCATGGAAAATGGAGACTTTCCCAGAGAGAAAGAGCCTTTACCACAGTCGGGCAGTTTGGGTCAAAACACTTAAATTTAGGGAACTGAGAGGAGACAGCTCAGCAGGTGGCAGGTGAGAGTCCTTGCTGGGCTGGCAGTGGACCAGGATGAGGTTCCCAGCAACCACACCCTCTCCTGACCTCCAAAGACATTGCATGCATATAGTGCGTATGGTGCAGTATCCAAGCAGGCAAAAGAAACCTATAGAAATAAATTTAAAAAGATCTAATGTGTTTCTGATTACATGTGTGTGCCTGTCTATGTGTAAATACGTTTGAATGCAAATCCACAGAAGGCCAGAGGCATTGAACTTCTCCAGAGGTGGAGGGGTACAATGCTTGTGAGCCACTTGATGGGGGTGCTGGAAACAGAATGGAGCTGCACCAAAACACACAGCTATCTCTTCAGCCTCCTCCCTTTTAAAGATTTTAGTCTTATGTGTGTGTGCCCACATGCATGTAGATGTCAGATCAACTGGAATATGAGTTGTGAACCTCCTCACTCAGGTCTTTGGAACAGAACTTGAGCCCTTTGTAACAGTAGTCCTTACCCTTGACCACCGAACCATTCTTCCAACCCCTAGAATATGTGGCTTTTGCCAGGTGGTGGTGGCGCACACCTTTAATCCCAGCACTCAAGACTTGGAGGCCAGCCTGGTCTCCAGAGCAAGTTCCAGGACAGGCTCCAAAGCAACAGTGAAACCCTGTCTTGAAAAAACAAAAACAAAACAAAACAAACCAAAAAAAAGGAATGTGTGGCTTTGGAAAAGTTTAAGCGGTTTTTTGGGCAAAACATTAAACTTTATCTCACACACACTGGGCAAGTACCCTGCCATGGACCTGTATCCAACTAGGGAGACCAGTGTTTGAGACAGCATTTTGATTTGTAATTCAGGCTGGCCTGGAACCACGGAAATTCTCCTGCCTCAGACTTCTGAGTGCTAGTACTTGGGTGAGCCACCATGACTAGCTGAGAATCATTTCTCTACTAATTTTTTTTTTTTTGATTTTCGAGACAGGGTTTCTCCGTAGTTTTTGGTGCCTGTCCTGGAACTAGCTCTTGTGGACCAGGCTGGCCTCGAACTCACAGGGATCCACCTGGCTCTGCCTCCCGAGTGCTGGGATTAAAGGCGTGCGCCACCACCGCCCGGCTTCTCTACTAATTTTTAAGCAGTGCTGGGGACAAACCCAAGGGCTTTCTGCGTCCTAGACTGCGCTGCACAGACAACTTCCTGTTTGCTTTTCAGTTGGGGAAGGGGCTCAAGACAGCCTCAGTACATGCAGTCCAGGCTGTTTCAGAACAGACTTGTCTCGGCTTCCCAAACTCTGGGATTACAGATGTGAGCAATCATGCCCGGCCTTGACTCAGTTTTTTAACTTTTAGGTTTATTTATGTGAATGAGAATTTTGCTTGCATGTCTATTTGTGCATCATGTTCATGTCTGGTGTCTACAGAGGGCAAAAGAGCACACAGGATCTACTGGAACTGGAGTTGCAGGTGGTTGTGTACCACTATGTAGGTGCCAAGAATTGAACCCAATTTCTCTGTAAAAGCAACAAGTGCTCTTAACTACTAAGCCGTCTCTCCAGCCCCAGGTTTCTATTTTAAAAAGATTTTATATTATTTTTCTAGGAGTTCGAGACATCGCTTTTCTGTGTAGTCCTGGCTGTCCTGAATTCACTCTGTAGAACAGCCTGACCTTGAACTCAGAGATCCACGACCTCTGCCTCCCAAATGCTGGGACTAAAGGTGTGTGCCGTTGCCCAGCCAAATTTTCTAAAAAGTAATTTATGTGCATCGGCGTGTATGTCTGTGTGACAGTGTTGGGTCCCCTGAAACTTGATTTATAGACAGTTGTGAGCAGCCACGTGGGTGCTGGGAATTGAACCTGGTCCCCTGGAACAGCAGTTTGTGCCCTTAACCACTGAGCTATCTCTCCAGCCAACCCTCAGCTTAGATTTTATTACTATTAGAGACAATATAGCCCTAAGTTGGCCTCACATTCACAGAGAACCACCGCCTTTGCCTAATGAGTGCAGAGATTAAAGGTGTTTGTCATTTAGTTTTACTTTACTATGTTTTTTTCCTGGGCAGTGCCTGCCTCTGCTGGGAACACAGGCACGCAGCAGCACTGAGCCCCACTACCTTGCGTACGAGTGTTTCTGAGTGTGGAATTGCTATCTGCGGAGGCCAGAGGAGGGTGTTGGATCCCCTAGAGCTGGAGCTACCTTCGGTTGTGGGTTGTCTGATGTGGGTGCTGGGGACAGACCAAGTCCTCTGGAAACCCTGAGCCATCTCTGCCAGCTTCCTGAGGTGACGTGTTTACCACGGGGAATAAAGATCGGGTATAGTCATTTACTTTTTGATTTGTATTGGATAGTGTCTTGGGTCATCCACGCTGGCCTCAGACTCAACACGTAACCAAGGTTGACCTTGCTGTAGTCCTAATTTTCTCTCCTCTATCTAATTTTCTCTCCTCTATCTCCCAACCTCTGGGGTTACAGGTGTGTATTAGCACGCTGGTGTGTAGCACTTTCATTTTAAGTTTTGTTGTTTTTTTGAGACAGGGTTTCTCTGTACAACAGTCCTGTCCTGGAACTCTCTTTGTAGATCAGGCTGGCCTGAACTCACTGAGATTCACCTGCCTCTGCCTCCCAAGTGCTGGGATTAAAGGCGTGTGCCACTACCGCCCAGCCCTCTTTTTTAAAGATTTATATGTAGGAATGTTTTGCTAGTATGTATATCTGTGTGCTATGTGCGTGCTTGTTAGGGTCTCAGGAACTGGAGTTATGGAGGGTTGTGGAGAGCCCATGTGCTGTTGGGAATGGAACCCCAGTGCTCTGCCAGAACAAGAAATGCTTCTAACTGCTTCTGGTGTACCTCTGAACTAACAGATACCAGAGCATAACTGAGAGTCTTGCAGGTTACAACTAGGTGGCCCAACCCCCAACCTTCATGGATAGGTTCTGGTCAACCTTAGGATCTCTCTGTAACCTAGGAGGGGATTTTAACTTTCGTTAATCCTGCCTCAGCCTCCTGAGTCCTGAAGTTAGACACCACACCTGACTCTTAGGTCTTTTTTTTATACAGGAAAAACTAAGTCACTTCAGGCGAGTCTGACCATGGGCAAAACTAGTCAATCTCCAGACATTTGCTCTGGACACAAAAATCATGGAATATCCTAATTCTGCATTTGACCACATTGAAGGTCCTACAGGCTGAGCCCACAGTCCCTGTTTTCTCTGAATAATTTCATCTGTGCACTACTTCAATGTATATCACCTCTGGGGAGCCCTCAACAGGGCTTCATTATTGCAGAAATCATAACACAACAAAAACAGTTAACTACTTTTATTGAGTAAGTCACTGTGATAGAAATTTTATTTTGGTGTAGAGAATTGAGGCTGGTTTCTGAGATTAACACCGTTTCTGTTCTTTTGATAAGGTCTCACATTGCTCAGGCTAGCCTCCAGTTATGTTGTATCTCCTTTCCGTCCCTTCTCTCTCCCTCCTCCCCCACCCTCCCATTCACAAAGTCTCAGTATGCAGCCCTGACTGGCCAGCAATTCGCTGTGTAGACCAGGCTGGCCTCACGTCCCGCCTGCTCCGGCATGCTGGGTGTAATGGTGGCGGTCACCACACCTGGCTAAACCTATTCTTTTCAACACTGTTCACATGAAGATTCGCTTAAGCACGGAAACAGCCACAATCACTGACTAGTCATTCTCCATAGGCTCTCAATCTCGTCTCTTTCCTGCGTCAATGTTTTCTTATTCGAATTTAAAATCTTATGTCGCTCTTTCGACAGCTTTTACAGTTGCCAAATATATTACTGAACAATGTGTACTTTCCTTCTACACGATTATTAACGTTAAAATATCAGTAACAGCCTTACGGTAACGTCACCAAGGCATTCCGCTAAGCGTTCCGGGTCGACCTTGGACACCCACAGCAGAGCCTGATCTGGCCTCCGTGCACTGCCCACACTCGCCGTGGGCACCACGCACCCGCCGCCTGTCGGATCCCAGGAAAAGCGTTAACTTCGGAGGCGCAGCGTTTCCCATCGCTGCAGCCCTGCGACAGCGGGGAGGAAAACAAAAAGCGACCTGAAGCCCGGCGCGGGCCGGGAGTTTGGCCCCACCGTCAGCTGCTCGCACCGGGTGCCCACAAGCGGCCCCTCCAGGCCTGATGCCGCGCTCGCCCGCTCGCTCGCTCCCTCGCTCGCCCGGAACCTCCAGCTAAACGCCAGCGGCCGCGAAAACAACTGCGCTCCGCCCTCGTGGACGTCAGCGGCCCGCCCCCATCCTGCCTCAGCCGCCGGGACACCCCCGCCCCACAAAGGCCCAAGCCCAGGCCCCACGGGAGAAAGCGGAGCCCCGGCCACCGCCCTCCG